AGTACTGATACAGTCAAACAGCTTCTTGGAAACTTCATAATCTGGCACACTTGTTGATGCTGTAAATATCAGTGGTATTCTAAAAAAAACACTTCGCACTCCTGGGAGAGAGTTAATTATATCTTTCCTGGTGATTGTGACACTACTGCACGCAGAGAGATTGGAGAGAATGGTGGATATTCCACTAAAAAGACCAGAAAACGTCCTACTGGTGTTACTTATGGTGCTACTTGTAAGACCTCCCTGGATTTCATAGTGAAATGTGATGTCGACCTCGTAACATCTTTTCACATCGTAGTTGGCAATCAGTGAAGCGTCTGAAATCACAGGAAAAATGTAGAATTCGTTTCAAATGACTAGTTACAACTTACAACAGAGACTCTTCTTTATATATATGTTCTTTTTGTTTTTATCTTAATTAGTTCTTATGGACAAGAAAATTATTTATCGCCAGTGGGGATGTGTTTTTGAGGTTTTTATTTTTGGGGTCACACGGTTTGTTGGAGGAACGACAGGGGATTAGTCTTCGTTAACAGAGTGTAATCACATCATTTGCGAGTACAGTTATTTAACTGCCCGCTGGAACACAGAACAGGACTGAGTGAAATGAAGCCATCTGTAGTATGTTGTGAGCGTTTGAAGAGAACATTGATGTTTGTGTTCTGGTGATTCATAATTCCCCTTGCTATGGAAAATCTACAACACACCATTCTTGTATCTCACACGAAACTCTGAGAGCGTTAGGTACGAAGAGAACCTTAACGTAAAAAAAGACAGTTTTTTTTTTCAAAGATGTCGAGCAAAAGGAAGGACCTGCGGAACGACAATTGCGATGTCACAAGTCTATCACTTACTAACAATCCTGTACACGTCTTGTGTCCAGGCCCAACCAGTTCCGCCCACACATCTGGTCGAAGCTCCGTACTTTTTGTAAGTCACATGAGCCAGCGGTCCTGACCAGCATTGCCCTGCATACTGAACTCCAAACACTAAGTACCCAGCTCTCTTTGCGGCCTGCGCACATCTCTGAATAGCATTGCTATCAAACCTCCAGTTGCCGAGCAATTTTGGCATGGCTCGAATACCATCGTCTTGAAAACATCCAAGGTGGAAAAAGTTGACTGCCGGAAATAAAGGCACGGCGGTTTTCAAAGAATTCGCTCTAAAACTGGCGAGTTTCTAAATTTATAGGACTGCAATGCGTAAAGTAATCGATTTGCCTTGGAAGACAGACTGTGTTTTTTTTTTTACTTTTTAAAAATCTATATGGGTAAATCTTGTATCAACCGTTTTATTTTCTGTTTTAAAAGCGCTACGATATTTGTTTTCTTTTATATTTCGACGCAAAAAAACACTCGTTGAGGTAAAACTTCAATGAAGGAATACTCCGAAACCAAGGTAATAGGGAATTTCTCTTCTATGCTGCCATTAGTCACTCAACCAAATTTCCCTTAGATAGATAATACAGTCCTTGCAGATGATTGCGTTTAGAAATCATTCTAACACAGACGTCCTTTCTATCAGGCAAGCGGGAGACACCTGGTTGAAACTTAAGAGCTGCTTCGAAATCATACAATACAGCCATTTTCAGTAATTTTTCTCTCAAAACAGCCAAAGGATTATGCGTCTCAATCTTATTTAGCACTAAACGTTTTGATCTCGGAGGATGACAGAAGAAATTAGCGAGGAAGGGTGGAAGATTTGCCAACACAAGGGGGGTGGGGTGGGTCAGGAATTTTGTTTTTCAATTTTTTTTTCAGTGGGATGTTTGGTTGTGTTCTAAATTCCTCCTTTTGCAAGGCTCCTCCTAATGTGTAGGATGGCTCTATTCTCGTCCAGAGATTTGGTGCGGTGAATCAAAATGAAAATAAACCAAGCAGTATGGTTTAAGACATCGACCCCTTCTACTCCACCCCCCCCCCCACCTGTGATAAACAAAAATACAACAGTAAAGATATAAGTTGTTTCACTCCTGAAATTTAAAAAGCGCTGGGGGTATTATGGCAGTTAGAGAACAAAAACAACACAGGAGCAATTTTTCAATATTGTTTCGGATTTATCTGCTCAATTATGTATTTATACTTCCTGTCTGTCGGCCAGTTGCAAATGACGTCATCGCTCTTGACGGGACGTCTCACAAAAGAAGAAAATTTATCTGATCAGTTAATGTACATTGTTGTAAGAACAAAAATATTTTTCGGCTACATTGTACACTTTTCGTGATCAAACATTTTGGCATACAAAAATTTTTAAAATGTTACACTGAACTAAATAACCACATTGCCAAACGCTAATGGTCGGAGCAATCTGTAAGGAGAGACGTTAATTTTCATGCGTTTTCGATATGCTCCAACGGCGCGGCTTTTTAAAATTTAGACATTTAATGAATGTCACTTCTAGAATATTTATTACTTTGTCTTTTGTCTCTAAAATTAACGCTTACCCAACCCATCAATTCAGACAAGCGGATCTATTGAATTCTAGCATGTTATGTAAGAT